TCCTCCTTTACTCAACACCTCATGATCCTCTCTTGTGGTCTCCTTTCCAGTTTCATAGCCTATACCCAAGCTCACCTCACTTATACACATATTTAAAGACATTGTAAATTATGATGGGCATATGAGAGAGCATGTGGTTTTCATCTTTCTGAGTCTGGGCTACCTCAGTTAACACAATACTTTCTAGATCTTTCCATTTTCTTGTAAATGTCATTTTCCTGTAGGACTGAATAAAATTCCATTGTGTATATGTGCCACATTTTCTTCATTCATTCATCTATTGACGGGTGTCTAGCTGGTTCCTAAATAGGAATGTTCAGGTGTTTCTGCTGTAGGACGTAGAATCCTTTGGGTAAACGTCAGGAGTGGTACAGCTGCATCATATGGTAGTACTAGTTTTTATTTTTTTAAGAGAAACCTCCGTATTGATTTCCAAAATGGCTCCACTAGTTTACACTCCCACAAAAGTGAGTAAAGGTTCTTTTCCCCACACTTCTACCAGCATTCATTGTTGTCTATTTCCTTTAAAGATATTTTATTGTTTTTACTTTATGTGTACGAGTGTATGTATGTAAGGGCACCTGCATGTATGTAAGTGCAACTGTGTCATGCAGTGCTCATGGAGGTCAGAAGAGGATGTCAGATCCCCTGGAACTGGAGTTATAGATGGTTGTTGGCTGCCGTGTGGGTGCTGGGAATGAAACCTGGGTCCTCTGCAAGAGCAGCCAGTGCTCTTCACCACTGGGCCATCTCTCCAGCCCCTGTTGTCTGTTTTCTTAATGACTGTCATTCTAACTACAGTGAGATGGAATTTCATGGTAATTTTAATTTGCATTTTCCTGATAGTTAAGGATGTTAAACACTTTTTAAAACACTTAAAAATATTTTTATTATTTTTATTTTATGTGTATGAGTGTATTGCCTGTATGTAAGTGAGTGTACCCGTGTCGTGCAATGCCACAGAGGGCTTCGGATTCCCCTTGAACTGGAGTTAAGGACAGTTTATAGCTTCCATGTGGGTGCTGGGAATCAAACCCGGGTCCTCTGCAAGAGCAGTCACTGCTCTTAACTGCTGAGCCATCTCTCCAGCCCCCAGGATGTTAAACACTTTTTAAAACACTTATTGGCCATTTGCATTTCTTCTTTTGAGAACTGTCTGCCCGTTTCATTAGTCCATTTGTCAACTGCCAGGGTTTTTATGTTTAATTTTTATTGTTCTTTATATATTCTGGACATTAATCCGCTGTCTGAGCTATTGCTGGAAAAGATTTTCTCCCATTTGTGGGATGTCCATTTGCTTTGCTGGTCATTCTTTTAATGTGAAACTTTTTAACTTCATGTCATCACATTTGTTCATTCTTGGGGCTCTTCCTGTGCTACTTGAGTCCTGTTCAGAAGGCTTTTGCCCATACCAATATCTTGAAATGTATTCCTTATTTTTCTTTAGAAATTTCATCATTTCAGTTCAGAATTAAGGCCTTTCATCTAGTTTGATTGTGTGTGTGTGTGTGTGTGTGTGTGTGTGTGTGTGTGTGCGCAGGATGAGAGATCTGGATCTAATTTCATTCCTCTACAGGTAGACATCCTATTTTGCCAGCACTGTCTTTTTCCAGTGTATGTTCTAGACACTTTTGTCAAATTTAGATGTGGGTCCTTAACCTCTTAGTTTGATTGTTTTTCTGCCACTATAGTGCTGCCTTTGTCACTGTACCTCTGTAGTATAATTTGTGTCTGGTATCATAATGCCTCCAACAGTGTTCTTTTCTGCTAAGTATTGCTTTCACTATTGTTGGTCTTTTGTATTTCCATATAAATTTTTGGATAGATTTTTCTAGTTCTGTGAAGACTGTCGTTGAAATTGTGTGTGTGTGTGTGTGTGGTGTTGTCTGTATATGGTGTATGTACTAGTTAGTGTGGGTGTGCACATGTGTGTATGTGGGTGTGCAGATATGTGAGTGTATGTGTATGTAGAAGACAGAGCTCAACGTCAGGTGTCTTTCCTGGATTGTCTCCATTTTTAACTGTTTGCGACAGGGTCTGTCACTTAACCTGAAGTTCATTGATTCGACTAAGCTGGCTAGCCAATGAACCTCAGGGATCCATCTGTCTACCCAACCTCCAGAACTGGGGTTACAGGTGCATGCCACCATGCCTATCTTTTTATATAGATTCTAGGGGCTTGAACTCATGTCTTCATGCTTATGTGGTACACACTTCAACTGACCCATCTCCCCAGCTTGAATTTTGACTGGGATTGCATTGAATCTGTAGATTACTTTGTCAATTTCACCATTTTTACAATAGTAATTCTGCCAATCCAAAAGCATGAAAGGACTTTCCATCATCTAGTATCTTCTTTAATTTCTTTTTTTCTGTTTCTTAAAATTTTCATTGTAGAGGTCATTCACTTCCTTGGTTAGATTTCTTCCTACTACTTTATTATTTTTTGAAAATGGGATATTTTTCCTTATATTTTTTCTCAGTAAGTACATTATTGGTATATATGAGAGCTACTGATTTTTGTTTGTTGATTTTTGTAATGTGCAACTTTACTGAAAGTGTTTACTGAATCTAAGAGTTTTCCAGAAGAGTTTGTAGGGTATTTTTAAGTATAGAACAAAGTCATCTGTGAATAGAGATAATTCTGTGAATTTAGGGATAATTTTTCATTTGTTTATTATTTTTATTTTATGTGTACAAGTGTTTTGTCTGCATTATGTGTAAAAACACCACATATGTGCAATGCCTGCAGAGGCCAGAAGAGGGTGTTGAATTTCCTGGTACAATGGATAGTTGTTAGCCATCATGTGGGTGGGTCCTGAGAACCAAACCTAGCTCCTCTGCAAGAGCAGTCATTGCCCTTAACCGCTGAACTATCTCTCCAGCCACCAATAAGGATCATTGTACCTCTTTCTGTTTTTAATCCCTTTTATATCTTTCTCTTGTCTTAGAGCTCTACCTAAGACTTTGAGCACTGTAATAAGAGAGTGGTCACCCTTGTCTCATGCCAACTGAGAGGGAATACTTGGGTTTTTCCCCACTTCTATGATGTTGTTTTATATACTCTTTATTATTTTGAGTTATGTTCCATTTATTCTTAACTTATGTAGGACTTTTATCATGAAGGCATGTTGAATTTTGTCAAATGTCTTTTTTGTATCTTTTGTGAGGATCATGTGACTTTTGCCTTTAAGTCTATTATTTGATATATTGCATTTATTAATTTGCTTATGTTGAACCAGCTTTGTATTCCTGAGATGAAGCCCATTTTGTATAATATATGATCTTTATATGTTCTTGGATTCAGTTTGAAAGTATTTAGTTGAGAATTTTTGCATTTATGGTCATCATGGAAATTGGTCTTTAATATTTTTAAGTTTTTTTTTAGTTTTTCATACATAAGTGTTGTGTTTGCATAATTTCCACCCTTCCCAGTCCCCTCTAACTCCTCCCATGTCCCCCATTCACAATTGCTTATTCTTTTTTAATTATTGTTACATATGCCTATGTATTTACACACACACACACACACACATATAGTGTCCTCAGTCCATTTAGTGGTGTTCATGTGTACATGTGTTTGGGGCTGCCCACTTGGGATTAGATAGCCTTTCAGGAAGTTAGTCCCTGGAGAAAACTGATTCTCCCTCCCTCAACATCCATTGGTTGCCTGTAGCTCTCACCTTGAGGTGGGACCCTATGAAAATTTTCCCATCCAAATTAGAATGTCAACTTGTTTTGCCATTATGTAGCTCTTGTCAGGCTGCCATACTCTGGAGATTTCGTGGGGGTTCCTTTGTGGTGAAAACTCACTGGTGATGAAGCTTCGGTAGGCTGTTTGCTATGAGGCATTTAAGATTGGCTTGGAGAATGCCCATGCCAGCCTGCTATGTTCCAAGGCAGCTGTGGATGCAGTGGCGTGGTCAAGTCAGATCTTGGAGGAAGTTCACTGGAGTGTAGGGCAAGTGTCTATCACAGCAAGTCCTTAAAGGAGGAGCTTGACTGGGCTGTGCAGCAGTCCTGGTCCTTCTTCCTCAGCTATAATCATCTTTTCACTTAGACAGGGCTTCTAATCTTCCATCTTACCCAGAAGATCCTAGGTGATGTATTTCTAATTGCCAAAATGCCATTGATTTCACAATCCAGTGATATATGCTAAAAAATAACTAACTAAATAAATAAAGTCAAGGAACATACAAAACGTTCCTGATTTTTTTTTTTTGTAAATTAAGGTCATTAAAAAATGGATCCTGCTATTTTTTAATGGAGTCATAAAAAACAATCCCTCAAATTGAGTCAAACACATTTAGCTTTAAAGAAAATTCATTCTATTGTCTTGTTATCATTTTGGGAGACCAGTAAAATGTTTTTGAGGACTTTGTAATGACAGTTGGGAGCATCATTAGACACAATGACCCAAGGGACCTGGGGAGGGAAGGGATGGCCTGGGTCCTGAGGGTCAGAAGGTCTGCAAACCAGGCTTACAATCTACTCCCCAAAATTTCCTCAAGCCAAATGTCCAAAATCAATTCAATTACATGGGATCCCTCCACACCTAAAGGTTGTCCTTGAACTAAACCTTGCATTTTCCGTTTGTAAATACAAGCTCTGCTGAAAACCCATGGACTCATTTGAAAACGACACTTTGGCATCCTGAACAGACATTGTTACTGTCTGAAGAGAAAACCTCTTTGCTCAGTAAGTAGGCACACTTCTCAGAGGAGGGAACTCAGAGAAGAGCAGAGAAGGCAGCACTTCTGCCCCATAATTTAGACACAAAACCTTTGGGTCTGTTTATTAGTGGATAGAAGTCATCAGTGTGAACCTTGAACCTTTGGCTTCTCTGAGTTGAAAACCAGAAACTTCTCTGAAATTTGTTTGGCCAACAGAAAAGTACACTCTCGCTGTGCATATTTCTAACCTGTATGGGTCACTTTGGGCATTGATTTGAATAGCAAATATCTAAACGGGTGAAATCTGTTCTTCTTTAATTAAATCAGGTTGACACAAATGAACAGCTCAGAAGAATAGCCCAAATGAGGATTGTTGAATACGACTACAAACCTGAATTTGCATCAGCAATGGGAATAAACACTACTCATCAAATAGGTACACACACAAATTCCCTCTTTAATTTTCTATTGTTAGCTATTAAAATTTTAATTTCCTCTTTATCTCGAGTTTTGTGCTATGCATTTGACAATGCCCCGTTGAACTAACACATCCTGTGAAACCCATAGCCATTAGAACAGGGAGGGCTAAAGAACTTTTGTTTTATCTTTATTCAACGCCCCCCATTTCTGCACCCCAAGTCGTGGCAGAATATTTTGAATATATTGTTTCTTTTCTCTTGAGTCCTTTGCTCATGAGATGATAGTTTAGGGGCACAGAACAACCAATCTGTGTAAGAGGAAGCCCTCAGCAATCTAGGTAGAGAGGAAAGGTGGAGAGCAGGTGAATCTAGGTGAGACAGAAAGTTAGCAAAGCAATGCTTGTTCCCTACTCAGGAATCCTAAAGGAAGCAGGACCACTGAGGGACAAAAGCCCCATGTAGGAAAAGAAATGAAATCAAACTAATGACGCAGTTCTTTCTATGTAAAGGGCCTTTAAGGGTATTTATTAATTTATCCTTCCTGACATTTGTCAGAATCTTAAGAAGGAGGGAGGGAGAAAGAGAGGGAGGTAGGGAGGGAGAGAGAGAGAGGATATGGTTCCTCCTTTTAATCATGTGGTAATTCTTGGTTCAATTGTAGATCAAAACAAAAGCTTAGGTAAACCTCTCTTTCCAAAACTCTTCCATAGCTGTCAGAGTTCCATTCTGATGTGGGAAATCCAGTGAGCAATCCTGAAGTTCTTTCCCTGATTAAACTGTTGAAGTGTTTTGTATATAGGGATGATTGCCCAAGAGGTGCAAGAGATCCTGCCCAGAGCTGTAAGAGAAGTTGGGGATGTCACCTGTGAAGATGGGGAGAAGCTGGAGAACTTTCTCACGGTGGACAAGGTAATCAACCTCTGAATAGGTGTATGTGGCTAGTTATGACTTCACTCACCAGTGAACCCCTCCTGTGGCAGCACAATGGCCAGAAGCAACTTGCCTGGAAACACGACATAAAGGAAACCCTTCATTAAGCTGTAGGGAAAGTTAGTACCAATTATCCCATACTAGTCATAGGTATGACAGAGAAGTCTTAAGGAGGTTCTCATCCTGGGATATGTTAAATGGCTGAGGCAGTGGATGACTTGGGTGATGGCTAAATTTGCCATTGTACACTATATTAAAAAATCAGAACACCACTTTGCACCTCATATCTAAATACAGCTATAGGTTTTCAATATTCAGTGACAATAATAATAATTCCCACAAGGGTAAAAGAAAAAGGACTGTGCAATGGTCAGAATTCCTCTTCAGCAGGCTTTATTGAAGGAAAACTGACTCAGGCAGAGTTCACTTTGCAGGTACACTCTCAAAACAAGGGCCAGACAGCATGGGAAACCTTCACAAAAAGTTCAATTGAACTTCATCTTTAAAAATGGAACTATAACTTTGAAAAATACTTATCTTCTCTAATACAAGCTAAACTATAATTACACAGTGTGCTGCTTGCTCCTCAGAATAATTTAAGGTTGAATGGAATGGTGCATTTTTGTATCGTTTATTGATGAAATTATCTTTAAATTCCACAGTGGGATCATAAAGTGGGTCATTTTTACAGAGCTATTCATGAGCCTCATCTTTTCCCTAAGGGCCTGTCTTAATTCTTTGTTATTTAAATCATTGTCTTTTGAAGAAATGCCCTCTTGCCTCTAGATTAGCCCTGTTCATGGAATAAGGGGTCTAAGTCAGCTACTTCCTCTCTTATTAATGCAGCAGATATGACTTGAGTAGTTCCCCTATGCCATGTCCATCAGTCCTGTGATGTCCAGCATCTTTTTTCAGACTCACTCTACTGCAAGTTTGCTCTGTGTTGCATTATTGTATTCAGTGCTGAGGGGAAAGACTGATTGCATAGGGAGTTTGCAATGGTGGGAATTAGTTTGAGTGGAGACTAATTTATAACTTGTCAGTTAGTGGGGACAGTGCTTCTCAAACTTCAGAGTGCACATACACTACTGGGGATCTTATTAAAATGCAGATTCTGATTTGGCAGGAATACGGTGATACTAGAAATCACCTTATGCAGAAGTAGCCAGCCTCTGAGTGATGCCAGTCTTGCCAACCCTGCTGGTCACAAGCCATCCTTGGAGTAGCAAACCAGATGGTTTTTACACTGCGCTCCGTCACCATCTTCTACTTGTGCCTGTTCAACAAACACATAGGAAATGACCTGCTCAGCCCTGGGCTGCAAGGGCCTCATGGCAGAAGTGAGTCACTGCTGCTGCTTCAGGGTGCACATCTTACATGGAGGCAGGGCTGTAGTTGCTCTTGCCCAGACTTCGTTGCAGAGGCACAGCATGAGAAGTCCATGCACTTCCCGATATCTCTTTGTTATTATAAAATAGGCACAGCATAAAATGCATCATCTTAACCACCGTTAAGGGTACAGCTCACTGGTATTAGACATATTCATTATTTTGTTCATCTGTCATCACCATCCATCTCCAGAAGTCTTTATTTTGTAAAACTGAAATTCTGTATCCATTGTCCTCATTTCTTCCTTCCCCTAGCAGCTAGCAACCCTAATTTATGGTTTTGACTACTCCAAGTACCTCATATATATGGACTCATGCAGTAGTTGTCCTTTTTGTGAGGCTTATTTTACTTAGAATAATCAAAATCCCTCTATGTTGCAGCATGGATGATTTCCTTCCCTTTTAAAGCTGAGTAATGATATCTCTCTCTTTTTTTTTTGATCCTTTTGAGACAGGGTCTCCCTGTATCCTGAGCTGTCCTGGAACTCACTATGTAGACCAGGCTGGCCTTGAACTCACAGAGATCTGCCTGCCTCTGCTTCCTGAGTGTTGGGACTACCGGTGTGCACCACCACGCCTGGCATATCTCTTTATTTTTATATAGAGATCACATTTTGCTTATCCACTCCATCATGGGTGGCTTTCCCATTTTATCTATTCTAAACATTGGGTGTACAAATATCTTTTTGCATCCCAGCTTTCACTTTTGGGGGCATATATACTCAAAAGTGGAATTTCTGGGTCATCACATGGTAATTTTATTTCCAGTTTTTTGAGTAACTACCATACTGTATCCAGAATGTTATATTCCCATGTGCAATGCCCAAGCATTCTAGTTTCTTCACCAACACTTGTTATTTTCTGTTTATTTTAATAGCCATCTTAAGGGACATAAGGTGGTGTTATAGTTTTAATTTGCATGCCTCTAATGGGTAATAATATTGAGCATCTCTTAATATTATTATTGACCTCTTGGATATCTTCTTTTGAGAAATCCCTATTCAAACCCTTTGCCCACTTTGAGTTGGGTTGTTTGCTTTTTTGTTCTGTTGTTGTGTTCTAGTTTTCTGTATATTCTGGGTGTTCATTTTTTTTAAATTTTATTATTTTTATTTTATGTGTATGAGTGTATTGCCTACATGTCTGTGAGTGCACTCATGTTGTGCAATGCCGTGGAGGTCAGAAGAGGGGTTCATATTCCCCTGGAACTGAAGTTAAAGATGGTTCATAGCCGCCATGTGGGTCCTGGGAATCGAACCCAGGTCCTCTGCAAGAGCAGTCAGTATTCTTAACCTCTGAGCCATCTCTCCAGCCCCTGGGTGTTCATTGTTTATCAGATGCACTTTTTCTTGTTGTTTGTGTTGTCTTTTTGTTTTTGTTTGTTTTTTTCAGACAAGGTCTTGTTAAGTAGCCAAAGCTACTTAACAAATGTAGAGAGTAGTTTGGTACTATGTTCATTTAGCAAACTGTAGTAGGTTCACCCCTGGAGCCTATGAGGTTCCCAGCCATGGGTTCATGGTCAATTTTACAGTACTAGGTATGATTTTCCTCCTGGGGAGTGGGCCTTAAATCTAATCAGAAAGTGGTTGGTTCCCTCCACTAGATTCATGCCACTATTACACCCATGGACATTTCTTGCCACCCCAGTCATTACTGTAGCTCACAAGGTTCACAGCTGTGTAAGACTGTTGATGACTTTGTTCCCCAGCAGCCTCCGTAGCTCCTTCTGATACTATGAAAGCTAGCCATCAGGGGAGAAGCTTCCTAGTAGCACCAACTTGATTTCTCCATGTCCTATGACCAAAGTGTGGTGATTTCAGAAATAAAGTCTTGCCATCAAGTTGTGGTGAGCAACCAAGAGCAATGGTAGTAGCCTGCAGTATGTGTTAAGGGTCTCTAGGACAGCCCTGGTCAACAACTTGAAGGGAAATATACCTTAACCAGCACTGGGCTTCTGAGAAAAATATTATCTCCTGTGTAGAATAACTCCATTTAAACTTTTTATGAATGAATGAATGAATGAATGAATATATATGGTGCTTTCTATCATCTTTAGTGTTATCCCTCCCCTCACATCTCTCTCCCCACTTAAATATCCCTTCCCATTATCCCCCCTTTCCCCTTCTTATCATCTGACTTTTACTATCTCTCTTGCCTTAAGATAGTTCTTCTCCCTCTCCACCAATGGTCCTCTTCTAGTTTTCTGGCTTCTACAGGTGCCCCAAGTTAAACAGACAAATCTAATGATTTTACACTAGGATCCACATGAGTTGAGAATATGAGACATCTGCCTTTCCGGGTCTGGTTACCTCACTCAGTATAACAATTTCTTTTTCAGATTACTTACTATTAATGCGTAGAGAGGAAGCTTTTAAAAAATGTGTTGGATGGCCAGGCATGGTGGTGCACGCCTCTAATCCCAGCACTTGGGAGGCAGAGGCAGGTGGATCTCTATGAGTTCAAGGCCAACCTGGTCTGCATAGTGAGTTCCAGGACAGCTGGGGCTACTGGGAGACCCTGTCTCAAAAAGACCAAAAAAAAAAGTGTTGGCTTTGTGTCTTGCCACGTTGTTGAACTGCTGAGATGCTTGTTTTTAATAATGAATTCCTAAGTTTTCCAACAATTTGCTTAAGAACAAAATGAAGCATGTTCAGAGGTACTAATACAGCAGAATCACCGTCACTCTTTTCCATTTTCATAAGGTGTCTGAGACAAGTGGAAAGGAGTCCAGAGCCATCAGTCACAGGTGCAGCCTTGGGAGGTGGCACCAGCCTGCCAAAGTGGAGGCTCGTGGGGTTAGCCAAGTTACAGCAGCATGTCACTTCTGGCTGTGCTCTTCCCCTAGAATGCCAAGGAAAGTAGCGTCCCTGGGAAGTACTATATAGATACTGCTTAAGACCCTCATTGTGCAGCAGAATGATTAGCTCTCCCTTCTGTCTCCCAGAATTGTCCCATTCCCCAGGTAACTGGGTCTGTTAGTGACAGGCATCCCAAGAGCTCTCACCCTGTTCCCAGGGAGGCTGCAGTTCAAGGTCATTTCTGGGAAGGAAACCCAGAAACAGAGCCTGACATTTCTGTTCCACACAGGCAGGCTGGTGTTTCAACTGCTGAGGTGAAGTCAGTTTATAAATAAGTAACACAGGAGTCCAAACTGGAAAAGTTGTTTTCTTCACAGTGAGGCCATTGTAAAAATGAAATTTATGGAGATGCCCCCGAGGCCATTTCATCTGCAGAATATGCAACACCAAAAGCAGGTGGCATCTCCCTGCAGTTAGGCAGGAGAAGCTGGCATTCTTTGGCTTGCTTCTGAAGATGATCTTGATTTGCTCATCTCTCTCGGAGCTATGGGATGCCTCTCTGCTCAGAGCATCTCCTTCATTTTTTCTCATTAAAAATGCAGGGAGTATGGCTCCTGTTGTCCCCTGTTCTTTGCCAAATGTGAAATGAACAAGATACAGGAGAGCCTCTTGCTCTCTGGGCCTCTAACCTTTCACATACTGAATATGCCGACTTTCTCTGCCACCTCTGGGCCTGCTTATTCTGAGGAACTCTGCTGGGATGTTCTGGGCTTCTAGGCTACTCTACCAGACA